TGCAATTTGGTCAGAACATGATTTGCCTTTCGTGAATCCAGCTTGTTCTGGTCGGAGTTCTGTATCCAGCGCGTCCTTGATTCTCTCCAGGATGATGCGACTCAGGATTTTACTTGGCGTCGACAGGAGCATGATTCCTCGCCAGTTCTTGCAGAGTCCCAGGTCGCCCTTCTTTGGTAGTTTCACCAGGTAACCTTTCTTCCAGTCAGTAGGCACCTTTCCCTCTTTCCAGATCTTTTGCAATAATGGAGTCAGCATATCTGCCGTCGTTTCTGGGTCCGCTTTCAGTGCTTCCGGGGGTATTCCATCTGGTCCAGCTGCTTTTCCAGCTTTCAGAAGCTTGATTGCATTCATGACTTCAGTTTTCGTTGGAGGATTGGTGTCAACTTGCAGTTGTGTACGTGCTGTTGTTGGTATTACTGGACGGGTTGTAGGTGGTGGTCGGTTCAAGAGTCCTTTGAAGTGGTCCGCCCATTGTTTAATCTGTCTTTCTTCTTTGGTAATTGGGTTCCCTTGGCTGTCTTTTATAGGTTTCACTTGTGTTGATCTCTTCCCGGATAGAGACTTGGTTATCTGATATAGTGTCCTCAGGTCCCTTTTGCCTGCTGCCTTCTCAGCTTCAGTAGCCAGGTTGTCGTAGAATTGTCTTTTGTCCTTCCTGGCACTCTTCTTCACTTCTTTGTCCAGTGGTGTGTAAGTTGAGTTCAGCGTCTCTTTCTCTTGTCCATCTTTGCATTGAATCATTTTCTCTTTCACTTTTCTCCTCTCCTCTATTAGTTTCCAAGTGTCTGTTGAGAGCCATTCCTTGTCTTGTTTCTTCTTTCTTCCTAAAACCGTTGAGCACGTTTCGTTGAAAATTACCTTCAGAGAGTTCCAATGGTCTTCCACGGATGATTCCTCAGTGGTGCCACGTAGTGTTTCCTGCTTTGCTCTGACAGTTGCAGTGAAAATGTCCTTTGTGATTGTGTCCTTCAGTTTGTGAGTGTTGAACTTGCATTGTGGCCTATCCCCAGGTATCCTCGAAGCTTTCAGCTTCACCTTGAAAGTCCCTTGTACCAGATAGTGGTCTGAACCCACATCTGCTCCTCTCCTCGATCTTGTGTCCAGTAGGCTCCGTCTCCACTTCCTTGAGATTGAAATGAAGTCTATCTGGTTTTTGGTGTGTCCATCTGGTGAAATCCATGTTGCCTTGTGTATATCCCTGTGTTTGAACACACTGCCACCAATCACCAAATCATTGAAGGCGCAGAAGTCTGAGAAGAGTTCACCATTTTCGTTCATTTCACCGAGGGCCTCACGACCCATGGTGAGTTCTCTTCCTGTATTGTCTCCTCCCAGTTTCGCATTCATGTCGCCCATCAGGATTTTGATATCGCTCTTTGGGACGTTGTCCATTACTGTTTGTAGTTGACTGTAGAAATCCTCCTTCTTCTCATGTTCTGAGGCGTTTGTAGGCGCGTAGCACTGAATGATTGTAACCTTTTTTTCCTTTTGAGTTGAACCTGGCTGTCATTATCCTGGAGGAGATTGGTTCCCACTGCATGAGAGCTTTAGCCGCTGTTGGTGACATCATGATGGCTACTCCCTCGGTGTGCTCGTGATTGTCCTCTGGGTGACCGGAGTAGATTATTGTCTCTCCAGTTGATAGTTGGCTCCTTCCACATCCGTTCCATCTGCTCTCGCAGATTTCCAACACTTCTATTTTATATCTCCGCATTTCTGCGGCTACCTGGGCAGCCTTCCCAGCTTCGTACATTGTACGAACATTCCACGTCCCCATCCTTATTTTCGCTTTCATCGAAAGAAGGCACATCGGCTGACTGGCTTCCCGAAGGCTTTCACCAGCCCGCGTCATTTCACTTCCCCGATTCCAGCGAAAAATAAGGTCACTATTTGTAATTTTAGAATTTTGAATATATTTGTGCGTTGAAGTTTTAGTAGCAATTTGGTTAAGTTTTGGGGGTGGAGTTGCTAGCACCACGCCCCAACCCTCCCTCTTTATCCGGGCTTGGGACCGGTTAGAATACTAGTGACCTAGTAATCTAGGCGAGGTTCCACTATCAACTAAATGTGACAAAATTGAGCTACGGATTGTTTTTGTCTGTCGTTTGCCAAACTACCACAATGGGAGATGTTCACTAACACGTTGGCTAAGCTGCCTAGTAGTACGCCCAATATAACTGTCACCACAGGTGCAATTGATTTGATAAATCCACATAGATGTGGCAAAACTATCAATATATTCTCTAACCAATCACTGAGCGTACAGTTTTGGCTTACATTAAACGACATGAAATAGAATGTTCAAATAGATATATAGAGTATTCTGTTGCTAATGCTGAGTTGAAGTGTGGGAATATGTGAGAATAATATTCCGTTGGCATACATTGTCTATATCACACCACCATAAGAGGACCACTGGAAACCATCGCGGAGTACTGAACTCTTGAGAAGTACGCACCCCCTAGGATTCAAATTTAAGACCTTCTGGTTACAAGTCATTCAGTCACTGGGGCCCGATCCAATGGCCAGCCCATGAATTCCAACTTCTACCGATCCATGATTCTGGCGCAACAGCTATCTGCCAATGTCATCGGTGAGTATCTGTCCACACTTCCGACCGGCTGGACCCCAATGGTCACTTCTTCTCACTAGAATTCCAGACAACTTAGTCCTGTAGCCAGTCGCTAGCGAGAGTCACATTAATTTTCACGAGTTAGTTTGTTACAAGTTTGATCATAGCCTGGGTGTACTGAACACCTGTTTCTTCCTGGTTTGCGACTCTTCAGCAGTATAAAAGCATGAATCCACCTGGGTTCGAACCTATGGCTTTCTGATCTGCGGGTATGCCTAGTAACTGGAAGATACTGGGTTCGAAACCCAGTGGATGTGTACTATCACAGAATTCAAAACTAGGGTGAAATAACTGTCCAGTACTCCCTAGTCGTTTCAGTGGTTCTCTAGCTGATATCAGTCCGTGGTCAGACTGGGAATGAACGCATATCCCTACAAACTAACCCTTGAAAAAAAGTTAAAATTCAGAGGTCATTGAATTCCGGTAAAATTCAGTGAACGGTCAACGGGCTTGGCCTAGCAACCTGAATATACGCCGGGTTCAACCTTTTGTAGGGTCTTGAGTTATGCAGTCATAAAGAGTCTCGAACTAAGAACAAAATGCATATATATTTCGCCCTGGAAGAATTTAACTATAGTAGATGTGAGGCATAACTGAATTCTTATCGAAAGCCTACATGGAAAGGATAATACTTACATTTTAATAGCTTTTGTCCAAATAGCTTTAAATGAGGACTTGTCAAGACTCTGTACTATAGAGCAAGGAGAATACGCTCTGCAGAGAAAAACCAGAGGAAGAATATGAGTTTCTTGAAAGGATGTTGAAGAGCAATGGTTACCCTCAAAGATTCATCAACAAGTATGGAAGATCTGAAGTCACAAATGCAAAACAAATCACAGTGGGTAAAAAGCCAATCTACATTCAACTTGATTATAAAGGTGAAAACATTGCAGCAATGATCAACAGAAGGATGAGTACATCGCTAGCCATAGCCCATCCTGCAACTTGGTCTTTGATGCAATCAAAAATCGATAGATGTTCTTCTCATGTTAACTCCAACCGTATATACAAATTTACATGTATCTGCGGGAGCAGTTACACTGGAAGAACAGAAAGAAGGGCATATCTACGATTTTCTGAACATGTACCAAAAGGCTTACATCTAAAGGGAACAAATGCTTTAAGCAGTGCCATAGTCAGGCATCTCCTTGACATGGGTCATGAGGTGGACGTCGAAAAGTCGTTCAAAATTATCTATAGGCAAAAGAGCTCAATTCTCCATCAAGCACCTGAAACCTGATTGATTTTTGCGTCCAGAAAGAAGCGGTTATCAGTCTTTCTTTGCTCTGCCTGGTAACTGGATATTTTCATCTCTATTTCATCTGAATGCGTAATGCTGAAAAGTTTCCATTGTGTATGATTATTATTGTTCGTAATAGTGTTTAATATTATATATATGCATATATTAATCGATTGATTTTTGTTTAAAATGCAAGTATGTTAAAATCGTTTTTGTAGATACATTTAATTCATGTCTTTGGCCTGTAAGCAGCTGACGAGAAGGCAACGAAATAAGCAATGGTGGTACCACTTTATTGAGCAAAAGTCACTGTAGTTCTTGCGTTGTTCAAATAAAATAATTTCCTTGATCAGTAGCTTTGTCCTATGAGTAAGTAAGTTCAATAGCAGCAGTTAATTTTCTTTTAACTTCTGCTTCTAAGGCCATATTGTGATTGGTATTTGAGCGCGTAAAGACTATTTGTATGAAAACCAACCATTTTTTTCATTATTCTCTAACTGAGTGCCATTTAGTTTCTTTTTCATCTCATATGAATTAGTTATTCCAGAGTTTCAATGATTTCTAATGGGACAAAGTATCAGAGCGAGCTAAGTGTTTTGAAATATACTATTGGTCGTATGGGGTTGGTACCTGGTTTGTATGATGATAGGATGATGTCCCTTCCTGTCCTATCGAACCGTGTTTTTTGCCTATATTATCAAAGGGACTAATTGTTTTTATATATTACATAAATTAATTTTGTGTGTATGTGTGTGTGCGTATGCAGATATTCACCTGTCACACACAACACAATCTGTCCATTGGTCAGAATATCAAAGCAAAACAAAAAAATTTAAAATGACAGCGTGATATAGACATGTATGGCCTAGACAGACGAAGTGATGAACTTTCGCTTATCTGCCTATATTAAACGAAAGCATATGTGTCACAAACACACATATGCATGCACATACACACACACGCACACATTCTCCTTTCTACCAAAGCATTTATTCGTCTTCTTATTCGTTAACTTTTATTCGAATTGACATAATTGATATTGATTGGTTGATTCATGAAAATGTCGCAGGTAAAACAAAAAAACAAACAGAAAATGTCACTAACGTTTTAGAATTGATGATGACCTAAAAATGGTTTTGGGGAAAAAGTGGAAGAAACGGGTTATAGTTGTTATATTTTCAGGATTATTATGATAGCTTCACTTTCCCCGATCGAATAGCAATTAACTCTATTAAAACGAAGAGAGAAAAAAAGTGGTCAACATGGGAACGATCGTCTTTATCATGAAATAAATATGAATAATTGAATAAATAAATGTATGCAGAATGCCTAAACATTATCATGTGATATATTGCATTCTTATTTCCAGTGTGATTATTTTATCATGGATTAGAGAAGGTAAGTTGCACCTGTGTCGTTTTGTACGATTTTCATAATTAACTCTTTGGTCAATGTTGTTGTGGTGTTTATTGAGGCGCTTTTCGGTAATGATGATTACAGGCTTATGATAAACAATAGCGATTTTGAAGTTTTAGTTTGTAGAAATCTGTTTGAGTTAAAGTTCATTTTTTAAATCATGGAAAATTCCTATTGTAACATATAGAAAATCAAAACAAATGGTGATTCAGCGAAGAGACTCTTTTCAACGAATTTATCATCAAGCTGTACAATCGTATATATATATGGTTTTATTAAGAAGTTATATCCGGTGAGGGAATTGAAACATTGAATCGCAATAAGAAGCGCGATCATTGAACATCTGGTCGATAATGATCACCCTATCACTCTGTAGTCTCCGCCTTTAAAGTCATCTACAAGGCAAAGAGCAATTTACCCAAATCCCTACGTACCCGACTCATCTGTATTACTGAAGCCTTCTTTGGCTATCGAAACAGAAAAGCCAGATCTCTGTGTACAGAAATAGTTCGTTCAACCTCTCCCCTCTAACTTCCATGGTCTTAATCCCTCTATGCTAAAGTATGGTAATCCCCAATCATATTTTGGCTCTACCAATTTTTCTTTTTTTTTCATTTTTGTCTATTCAATTTGTATACTCTTCCTTATTAAGTCAATTGTTACTATTACTACTCTCACTTTTAATTGTCCCCGGTATTATTTCACTTGTTCCACTAGTTATTCTAAATCAATTCTTCTTTTTTACAACGTTAAATTCTATGTTATCAAATTTCACACAATATTACGTAACGTCTACCAATCCTATACTAGCACACCTTTTTTCAAGTTCTATAAATCCTATGAATTATTCTATATATGAATGACATTAATTTATTTTGTTACTTGACATTTAACTATGATTATAATCACAAACATTTTAGTTTTAATTGCATTTCATATTATTATTATTATTATTATTTTACTTATTCACACCTATGATTCAACTGCCTCACCAGATATAACTTCTTAAACACCGTATACACATACGATTGAACAGTTTGATAATAAATTCTTTGAAAAGAGTGTCTTCGCTGAATCACCATTTCTTTTGATTCTTTAAAGTTTATTCACGGATTGATATCAGTTATAAACTAGCATTTAGAACTAGCAAGGAGTACTGGAAAACTGTTTCGTCCTAGTTTGGGACTCATCGGTAGTAAGTACCCAATGGAGTTCAAACTCAGGACCCCTCATTCCCCCGGTTAAAAAACAAGCTGGCTCGTAGACCACTTAGCCACTGGGTTTTCAATCGGTCTCTAATTGACATCAACCTGTGGGCAAACATGGAACAAATCCAATTCCAACAAAATTAATCTGATGTTAACTAGCGACTACCTACAGAGTGAATTTGACTGAAGTTCTAGTGAAAAGTCGTGACCAATAGTGTCCGCAAAGTTGGGCATAAGGACAGATGCTCGCCGATGACAATGGCTAATAGCGGCACTAAACATTACGAACTCATAGAAGTTAGGATCGCTTTCGTTGGCGATTCACTGAGCTTTTTATAGCACTATATGACTAACTGTAAAGCTCTGAAGTGAGTTTACAGAAAGAATATTCAGCACAGTTAAAGAATAGCGACCTGAGCAATGTGGACGCACGACTGACCTTGAGGCGACCAGTCAGAATAACCAGTGTATTCCACATAAAAATTGATTTTTTTCACTAGAATTATCCAGGCAATGAAAATGAAAAAAAACTAATTCTATAATTATTCTGTTGGTTTCCGAGTGGAACATAGAAGAGCTTCAGCAGAACACCTCCATTCCACCCTGTTCTCTGCAGTCCTTCCTCTTCAGTTGGCTTCCCAGCTTTGCCCAGGACCTCTCATCTCCTCCATGTCACACTAGGACCAACGTCGAACTCGTCGTTTTCCTCTCATCTCCACTCGAGCAATGACCTGGAGTGCAATGTCCCTCGATAGTCTTCTCATTGTATATACCATCCATCTCCATTTTCTCCTGTACATTTGCTGAGCTTCTTTTTGATTCATTCCAAGATTTCTTTGTTGCTAATTCTCTTTGGTCAACCGTCTGATCTTCGGTATGAAACCAGCAATCTTGGGGAGCTGTTGATAAAAGTCTCCAGGAGACTGTTAGAAGTGCTTTTCATGATGCTTGTGCCAAGTTTCAGAAGCACTGACTGACTTAACATTGGTGTTGAAAGTCCAAATTTCGCTTCTAATCTTAATCGTATTCCTAACTGTTATCTTAACCTTAACCGTAATCCTTACCCTTTCCCTGATCCTAACTTTAATCGTACCCCTAACGAGCTGTCAATACATTGTCTAAAAAAAAATACTTAAAAACGAGAGTGGATGAAGTTTTCACACCTTATTTCATGTACAGTATTCATAATTGCGCCAAATAATAATACTAGATCACGTTTATCCAATGAATAATATGCTTTTAAGGTCATCTTGGTGCGTTCGCACTCCATGGTCACTATTCTTTAACTTTGTGAAATATTAGAATTTAATTGGTGGATGGTGACTAGCAGTGGAATCCAGGATAACGTGCATTTCGTCCTATTTGGGACTCGTCAGCTAACTGGATGTACCTGCATTCCACAGTCAGTGAGTGATGATGTTTCCACCGCCGAGGCTCGAACCCAGTGCCCATAGTTTCAAACACCAAAAGCGTTATGCAATAGACCACGAGAGCCACCTCTTGTGCAACGGGTCATATTAATTTTAAATAAATTTTAGATTTTCTGGTCGATTGATTGGACCGAAGTGCTCGGTCTCAAGTTGTCATGTCGGCGTCTTATGCAGATGCTTCGACGATGTATGGGCATTTAATTAGAATTTAATTGGTGGATGGTGACGGGAAAATCTAAAATTCAATTAAAATTAATATAACCCGTTGCACAAGAGGTGGCTCTTGTGGCCCAAGTGGTCTAGTGGATGACGCTTTGGCATTTGAAACTATGGGCACTGGGTTCGAGCCTCGGTGGTGAGAACATCATCACTCACTTATTGGGGAATGCAGGTACATCCCGTTAGCTGACGAGTCCCAAATAGGACGAAATGCGCGTTATCCTGGCCTTGATTCCACTGCTAGTCACCATCCACCAATTAAATTCTAATTAAATGCTCGGACATCGTCGAAGCATCTTCACAAGACGCCCGACATGACAACCTGAGATTGAGCACTTCGGTCCAATCAATCGATCGACGGGAAATTCTAAAATTCATTTAAAATTTGCGAAATATTCTTCTATGACCTGTCTTTTTGATTTATGTTACATGGATATTATTCATACTTTGGAGTTAGAATTCGTTGTCTATAGAATTCTGTTTCAGTGGCTGAATGATGAGGAAGGAGATTGCGCCGCAACCTGGATATTACAGGTTCGATTCCTAGTGAGTTCGCTGGTGCACAATACCGAGAAGTCATAAACTACTGTCCCGTACTGCCGACTAGCTTTTAGTGGTTGTGTAACTGATAAAACGTGAAACAAATGTTCGATATCAAGAATAGCAACCGGACTTAATGGCTTAGCAAATGATCCTCAAAAAGTAGACAAACCATTCCTCACTCAGTATCCATTCTATTCTTGGCCTAATCTGTTTTCAGTGAGTATTCGCTTTAGTATTGGCTAAAGGTTGGGATGATGCTTTGGTTTAAGTTGGTTCTACAGTTGGTGTCCGGCAAAAAAACAGAAATAGAAGAACATCCATCGAGATGACCCTGAGCGAGCCAATCAGATTGGCTACCAAAGAAAAGAGATGCGCTGTGCACGGGCTTCGTTGCAGATTTCCCTCTGATTTGGGTTTTTGGATTCTGTGTGGAATTGAGGATGTGTATTTTACCCTGTTTCGAGATCATCAGCATCAGGATGTACTGGCATCCCCTCCCCGCTAAATAATCAATCGTGTTCTCACTGAGAATTGAGCCATATATCCATCAAAATCAGGTACAAATTAACCTTTAGAACAAATAACAAACGATACACGCTGTACAAGAGATGGCCTTTTTTACAAATCTTCTGGCCTAATGGATGATGCTTCAGCGTTTAAAACGAAGGGTGCAGAGTTTGAGTCTCACAGAGAGAATACTATCATCACTCACTTGGACTGCGGGTACATCCAGATGACGGATCCCATATAGGATGAAATGTGCGGATCATGGATTCCACTGCTAATCACAATCGATCAAAACAACTTTACGTGTAAGAATTCTAAAGAAGGTTCCCTACTACTTTAAACTGTTTCAAGGATAATTCTTAATTCCTCATAGCAGTGTCGTTATTCATCCAAAATGACCATCGCTTACTTTTAGCTGGTAGAGTTATGAGATAGTATTTAGGATTAGGGTCAAGATTTGGTTTTTTTTAACAACCTTCGGTGTATGAACCATAGACAGAATAAAGCTTAACTACGCCAACAACATTATACGACAGAGTGGTGTCCGTCAAGGATGTCCACTTTCCCCTTTTCTGTTTAACTTCATCATAGATATGCTAATGGAAGTATCCTTAACTGAACTTAACAATTTAGGAATCGACTTGTTACCAGGGAATAGTCTAACGGACTTAGAATATGCAGATGACATAGTCCTGTTAGGGGAGGACGCTGACAAAATGCAGAGTCTTCTGAACACCTTGAGCAGCAATCTTCGTATGTTTGGCATGCGATTCGCCCCTGTAAAATGTAAGATGCAGCTACATGACTGGACTACGTCAACTCCTAGCTTAGTGATAGGGAGTGAAGTGATAGAACATGTTGACCACTTCACCTATTTGGGAAGTTGTATCAGCACCAACGGACTGACTGGTGACGAAATCTCAGCACGGATCCAAAAAGCTTGAGCTGCTTTCGCTAACTTACACCATCTCTGGCGTAGGTGTGACATCCGGCTATCAACCAAGGGACGTGTGTACTGCTCAGCAGTTCGCTCCTCCCTCCTCTATGGCTCTGAAACATGGCCAATACGAGTTGAAGACATGAAAAGGTTGACTGCCTTTGATCATAGATGTCTACGATCTCTTTCTCATGTTAGGTGGTATAATAAGTTAAGTAGTGTTGACGTTAGGCGTAGAGTGTTGGGCAAGGAGAGAAAATCAATCGAAGAGGCTATAAAGTTACATAGACTGAAATGGCTAGGTCACGTGCTGCACATGCCTAACCATCGCCTCCTCCTCCCGAGGTCATTACTAGCTGATATAGGTGCAGGTTGGAAAAGAGTAAGTGGTAATCAAACAAAAAAATGGCATCAATCCATGAAATCCCTGACAATTAAACTGAGTCAGGTAGGGAGATGCAGACTTCCGGGTTGGGGCCCTCGGGACTCTAAGAATCAATGGCTGGAGACAATAGGTGACATGGCTCAAAATCGTTGTCAATGGCTTACGCAGATGTATTCAGTCTCTGTAACCTTTCATATTCCTTTCTACCATTACTCATTCTGTTTCACTCTTATACTTGTCAAAACTCTATTGATTCTCTTCACTCATTTTCTTGTCTACCTTTGTGTGCCATTTGGAACCTGGCAACTCAAACTGCTGCACTTCGTTGGCAAGTTCTATGTTGAATCCAGCCAGCACGACAGCTACCTGTTCCCCAACATGCTCTACTCGAGCGAGAATACCCAGCGACGTGAGCTGAAAAGTTTATTTCATTATTAGCCAAAGTATATTTTACACAACAATGCATGATTCAAAAAATCACCAAGGATATGTCAAAAAGTCTATAATCATGATCAATAAAATAGTGGACGTTATTTTACGTAGACCAACTCTGACTGAAATTGATGACCATATCACCAATAAATGATCATCCACTATTTGTGGCCTACCTCTCCTAACACAGCATAATAGCTATGGCACGCCTGAGGACAGCTTGCTGTTTGAGACGGCAAAGTTTGGTTGGAAAACAGGTGTAGCACCATCTGAGAGACGTAAAGCCCGAACACTGATGCATTTTTTTCTGCGACCAAGTGCTGACTGGGAACTGCATTTGCCGTGACCCATCGGGGATGGTTGTTGTGTGTGTTGCTGGCTGAAATCATCATTGTGTCCAACATTGTTGGCGTCTTGGCGCCGGTGTTGCTTATGTGGACAAGACTTGACGAAATGCCAAGCACTACAATGCCAGCAGGATGATGGAGGTGTCACCTTTGGGCGCTGAGTGGTATTGTGCGAATAACTGAGACTATAGAGGTTTGAGGTAGGACCAGAGCGTATGGGGCCAGAGGCTGATGCAGAGGTTTTGAGAGGTCTGGCGAACTTCACTGGTTTCAGGACCACTCTGGCGTCCAGATTGGACTAAACTGATTGTTCGAGAATTTTGTCCGGCAAATGTAACTCGACTTTTAGCCAAAAAGTCTCGGGTTTAAATTTCCTCCACGTACTTCATCCCGGGTATCAAAGCTAGGGGCAGTTAGGGAAAGCAAAATAGTTGTTATTCATCACTCTGGAATCGGTGTGCAGATCTACTGTACTTAATTCAGGGGACAGGATCCATTTTCAACACTTATATCAATTCAGTCAGTTCTTCTATACGGTTCAGATAATTGGCGCGTCACACCACCGAAGGTACTTCTAGCAAGCTCTTACAGACTTCAGCCAATGGCTGCCTTCTCTAGACACTCAAAGTGAGGTGGCATGTCCGACAAAAAATAAACACGACTAGGAACTCTAGCAGGTAGTGAACCAACCAAGAACCTATTGTTCAACAAATAAATCTGTAGAAGGAAATGAAGATCAATTGGGCATAAGTTGGGGAGACATTTAAGTGAAATCAGACGCCATGACATACCTCTAGTGGAACCTAGACGAGCACAGACGATTTACACATTGGTCCGAGGATGATGTGGAAGAGACTACGTGAAGAGGAAATGAAAGCTTGTGGTAAATGATAGAACCACATACAAATGACAGTAGAATAGAGAGTGGAATGAAGATGTTCTGCTTAAGCTATACGTTTGACTTAGAATCCATGGGATGAATAGTGACAACAGTAACCAACTTCATCTTCAACAAGTGGGTAGTATTATCAGCCCTCACATAATATAAGTGTAACGCATATCCTAGTATGACAATGCCACGTATCAGGTGATCCACAATGGAAAACTCAGCGAGGCGTCCGAAGTGAAGTGAATACAGGAGTAAGACAAGGCTGACTGCCTATTATCACTGATGATATTCCTGATAATGGTGGACTGGATTATGCGTCAGGTCGTGGAAGGTGAGAAGATAGGAATACGATGGACTGACCGATAAGAAGACTGCATAAGATCTGGATTTCGTGCGTGGATGATTTATGTTTAGTGTTGTATTAATTCGAGGACTTAAAGGTGAAAACCAATAAACTAGCCGGAGAAGCAGGCGACGAAGACAGGACTCCGAGTGAGCGCAGAGAAGACAGAGGTGATGAAGATAACCAACCAGCCAACGAACAGAAACAACAACCAGCACCAATCACAATCAACGAGAGATATTTGAAAGAGGTTACTTCTTTTACTTATTTAGGCAGCCAGCATAGTTTCAGCCACAGCAGGTGCAGGCCAGAACCGGAAAGGCATGATACGCGTTTATCAACTTTGACCTAGCCTGAAAACCTGCTGTCACTTACCATAGACAACAAGACTGGGATTTTTAAAACAAATGTGTATCAGAAACTCGGCGTGCACGTCACGGATAAGATTTTCAACAGCCTGTTGCAGAATTCTGTCAATGGCTGTCTGCTTCGTTGGCTGGCTTCATACTGAAGATAAAATGGCCAGCCGGCCAGAAAGAATTAGCAATAAGAAACTCTAGCTGGAAACAAGCCAACCAAGAGCCGATTGCTCAACAGATATGTAGGAGAAAATGGAGATGGTTGGGCATACACTGAGGCGGCCGTCAAATAACACCACTCTCAGTGTAGGCCATTGCTCGAGTGGAATGTGAATGGGAAGCGCTCAGTGGGTCATCAGTGCGAGGGTTACATGGAGGAGATAGTGTGGCAAGGAGGAGAAAATGAGAGTCTATGATGAATTGCGGGGTCAGCTAAAGTGGGCTGGAAGCGACCGGACAAAGTGGAGATATGCTGTTGAAGACAATTTAATGCCTAAATTTCATCTCTGTGTATTAGAATAAAGTTGAGAATAAAGAATCAAAGAACAGTAATGCAGCTGCCTCCGATTATTTCTTTCCCATTATTTTATTTGTTTTTTTCATTACAGCTCATTCAGGTCATTCTGAAAAACGTCTATTAAATTATCTATTCGACAAGACGAGATGGGATGCACACAATCCAATGGAACGTCCTGTTTCTATCGATGGGAAACCAGTACAAGTCTTCCTTAAATGTTTTCTAAATCAAATTATGGATATGGTAAGCTCAATTATACACCTTTATACTTTTAAACAAAAAATACCACAAAATATTGCTACAAAATGACAGTCAACGAATTAAAGGTGTGTTTGAAGCAACCACTGATGCTGATTACTTGTAAAAACTTCCCCATATGATGTAATTGAGGGAAGTAACAAACAATTAGTTATGACCGCAAAAGTGATCACTAGCTGACATCAGTTACAGAACCATTGGAAAACCAGTAGGGAGTACTGGGCAGCTCTTTCATCCTAGTCACTGGGACTTTTCAACAGTACACCCAGGACTCTCCAGTTACAAGGCCATGTCGTAGTCTATTCAGCCACTAGGAGCCGGCCAAATGTCTTGTGAATTCCAGCTTCTGCCAATTTGTGATATATGTTTAGCGACTAATCCCACACAGGAATTTATCTGTGGTCCTAGTGAGAAGTCGTAACTAGTGAGGTCTGCCAAGTTAGGTGAGAGGACAGTCACTCGCCAGTGAAATTGGCTGGTGGCCGCGCCAAATATATATCACAAATTGGCAGAATTGGAAATAATGGACTATTCGGTCTGGATCCAGTGGCCTTATAGTCTGCGGGCTCACCTAGTAACCAGAATGTCCTGGGTTCGAGCCCTGCGTACTGATAGAGAGTCCAAAACCGGGACGAAAAAACTGTCTCTGGTTTTATTAGAAGGTTGGAGGTGAACGCCACGAAACCTTGACTAGACCTAGGTTTCGTGCTAGTTGGCACTCACTAGTCAGCAAGGCAGGCGTATCTGCAACCTTGAAGGAACTAATGTCTCTTCTGAGATTCGAACCTGAATCACCCAGTACTGCCGTGGTCAGAGAGTTACCACTGAGCTAGCTATTCGGGCCCGCAGTCGCCCGACTAGACACATTACACAAGTTACTGACTAGTGTCCAATCGAAAATACTCCCTGGTTTTCCATTGCTTCTCTAACCGATGTCAGCTCATGCTAAACTGATGTAACCAATCAAGTCCCTGCAAACCTACACCTGATAAGTAGTAATCGATAATCATTTGGAAATATTTAATAAGAAACAAGAGAACAAAAGAACTGAAAATGAGTTAGAAAAATTAAGAAAAACATGGGGTGTATTATTGAATGATGCAAGAAAAATAAAAAAAATTGACACTAAGGCCATGACAGTAAAAGAGACAGGAAACAGACATTGCTGAACATAAAATTTAGGTTTTCCCCCCCTATGGATTGCTAAACTTTTGGCTGTGAAACCCATTTTCGTCAGTCTTGGTCGTACTTTATATGTACGACTGAAAATAAGGTCCCTGTTGATGCTGCATCACTAGAAGGGAGATGTTGACTGTTCTGTGTTCTCCTTTTGAGCAAGCATGTTGGTAAGTGTGTTCATCAGCGCATCTGGACAATGTCCTGTTGGTACGGCCTATCTACTTGGCTCCAAAGGAACGAATGAATTCGTAAATGCGTACTGAGACTGTTCGCAGTGGGTATAAGAATAGAACTTGTGCACTGTGATGGCAGACTGTAATTCCATTATGGGTAAAATTTATTTCATCTCATCCTTATTAATTTCCACATTATTTTTAGGAAGATCAGAAAAGACCAAAAGTAAAATAAAAATAATTGGGAAACTAATAAGGATAACATATATAAGAGAGAATGTAAGGCATCCACAGTAGTTTCACCATACAAAGAGGGGACATCTGAGACCCTACGTGGTGGGATTCTTAATAAAGCAGGAATTTGAGTGGCATTTAAACCTACAAACTCACTCAGATAGGACAAGCTCTGTAGGTTAAAGGACCCTGCTAACCCAATTAAACAAAATTAAATAATTTACAAAATACCCTGCAATGACTGTGAGTTAGGTCAACTACATAGGTCAAACTAGTATTATTACTATTATTGTATCCTTTAATTCCTACAGGAATATAGGACTTCAGCCGTGTGTCTCCATTGCCTTCGGTACTCTGCTAGAGTCTTCACCTGGCTCCATGTCTGCCCACACGTTTTCATCTCCTCTCCACATGATCTCCTCCAAGTCACCCTCTCACTAACGACCAACTCGTCGCTTCCCTTTCGGGTTCCACTCGAGCGATGGCTTGTCTAGTGATGTCACTTGATGCATTGTTTCCTCAGAGTATGACCAGCCAATCCATCTCCATTTCTTCCTGCCTATTTGTTGCACAATCGGTTCCTGGTTGGTTCGCTCATTGCCAGAGATCTCTGTTGCTGATCTTTTCTGGCCGGCCATCTGATCTTGAGTATTGAGCGAAGACAACTGTTGATGAAGGTCTGTAGTTTGTTTGAGATGCTCTTTATGACGCGCAGTGCCAGTCTCTGATCCGTATAGTAGCACTGACTTCACATTGGAGTTGAAAATCCAGGTCTTATTTTTGATGCTGAGTGCTGTTGACCTCCACACAGACTTGAGAGTAATGAAGGCTTTTCTTGCTTTTCCGATTCTTGCTTTGATATCCTCATCAGTTCCGTCCGCCTGTAGTTGAAACGATGCTTCCCAGGTAGGTAAAAGAGGTTGTTTCTTTGAGGTAATCAGATTGTCAGAACATAAGAATTTAGCTAAGGTTAGAATGCTTGTTCCCACGATGATAAGTAATTTAGAGAAAAGAAACTGAGCAATTGCACTTCATACATTAACACACAACTACACAATAGAGTGGGTGGGAGAGGGTTAAAATTCTAAAAGGTAATCTAGGTACGTGGAGAGAGAGGTTGATTACTGAATCCTTGTTCATCGAATCTACATCCAACACATGCAATACGTTGCAATGACTCATCACTCATACCGGAAATATGGAAAATACTACCAACAATCAAGTCAAGCGATGAAAAATAATGGAATGATATAAACGAAGTTAAAAAGTTGTGTGAGTAATGCCTTGATATGATTATGAGCAGTAGCAATAAATTGTGCTCGAAACGTGGTTATCATCAGTAAATATTACTGTATAACACTGTTAGCAGTGGGACCTTGTCTTTCAATTTCTCGTGAAGAGGAACATTTGTCTGTGTGTGTGGAGAGAAGGTGAGACCTAGAGAATTTCGTTAACTATATCTCTCATGAATACTGAGAATTAATATTAGATTTTCCTTCGATACATTCAGGTCTTACAGAACATCGATTTTTGTCTATTCCGGTAAAGTTGTCAATAAAGTTCATATGTTACAGGATTTCATCATGAGCTGACATTGGTTAGAGAACCATTGGAACCATTGGTGCGTACTGATGAAGAGTCCCAAACTAGGACGAAACAGCTGTCCAGTACTCCCAGGTTTTCCAATGGTTCTCTAACCAATGTCAGCTCATGATGAAATCCTGTAACCAATCAACCAAATCCCTACACACCGATATACTTGAAAGTTCATATGGGATTAACCCTCCTTTTCAATACTCGCTAAATAATAATAATACTTCAATTGTCGTCTTTTGATTTGTATTTTAGGATGAAAAGAATCAAATTTTGTCAACTATCATGTGGCTTGATATAGTAAGTACTTCATTATTGAATATGATTTAACCTTGAAAGGATTTGCACCTTTTAAAGTAAATATATATATATCCCAATGTTTAAGATTGCCACCTGGAAGTGAAATTGGACAGGCTTATTTCATAATCCCTGTAACACCCAGAACTGACTCGTTAATGGTCCGAATGCGAAGAACTGATCTTTGCATCCTATTGTATAGCTGAACAGAACTTCCTTGAGATATTCACCGTCATAAAACACCCCACAAACAGTAAAAGAAGACAGTTATTCGTTGGTAGATCTATGCATGGTTCTATTCTGCCACCTCAATTTTAAATCGTATGAATGAAGCGCAGAATAGCATATCACTTGTGTTGGTAGGAGAGAAAGATAATTGTTTATTTTTCCTGGATATATTACTCAGTAGACAGCTTGATGGATAAATAAAACTATCTATTTATAGAAAACTTACCTGGTCAGGACAGTATTTTGAGTATCACAGTTTCTGCCCTGTCCAGTACAAAAGAGGAGCCTTAGTAAGGTGTCTCTTCAGTAGAAGACACACTTGATGAGGAAGAAAGAAAGCTGACACAAACTCTGGTTGATATTAATTGTTCAGACAAGTTCATTAAGAGATATAAAGTAGTCGGAAAGATGTGTACATCAAGGTACCCTATATGGAGGATCATATAAACTTGATAACTAGACAAAGATTGAACGCTGCTGTGGTTAAAAAGACTTTTTATGCAGCTAAGACGACAATAATTGAGAATGTGAAGCCAAAATATCCATCCATCTGAGCCCTTCAAACATGCGAAAAATGATGTCACATCCCACTGTAATTACCAATTTGAATGTATGTGTGGACATACATACACAAGGAGGACTCATCGATCTCTGCAAGTAAGGGCTGACTTCAGAAGCAAATAGAATCCCCATTAATGGTGAGAACAGGAGACCTAGCTCTTCTATTGCGAAACATATTATAGAGACAGGACATAAAATTGACGTTAGCGTATCTTTTAAACCTATCTATCTATAAAACGTGTTTGGGGCGTATCCTAAAGTTTGTGGAAGCACTAGCTGACAATTAGAAAGTTTAAACCACCTTTATGAGATCTAAACAACAATTCGTCATCATCACATTAAACCTTCCCTGGTAAGCCTTTTTTGACACCAGTCAGGGTAGATGTACTATTACCTCTGCTATTTAGTTTAGTGATCTTCATTGTTATTTTGACTTTCAATATACCGTTTTAACTTGACCTAAGTAGTCTATTTTCTCACCTCTTAACTCTTCATTAATTTCACTTAAATACAGTCCTATGACAATTCCGTGTGTGCTGGATCAAATTGTTCGAAATATGTTGCGCAAATACAGTACACACGATTCAGACAAATTACGTCTTCTTATTGCTTTTGTCTAATTCAATTCTTAAGGGGGACTAATTGTTTTAAACAGTAATAAAATCAGAAACTCAAAATTACCGCAACAGTGTGTTTACAATCCCATCCTGTTTTAAAGTATACTTGAGTACAAAATATAGTTCTAGAAGTATGGGAAAAAGGGGAGTTTTCGTCCACGAACTGCTCCAGTTTAATGAGTTTAAAAAAATCATTAATAACAACACCAACAATGACACGTAAAAGTAGAGAAGGAAACGAACATTTATATTTCATAAAATCTGATGATGTAAAATGGATGCGTTTTTATCCTGCACCATTGGTTGTTGTTTTTGTTATTATTTGTTGTTCAGAATTGAAATTTGTAGTGGTGACAGTGGTGTCTGTCAGGGATGCCCACTGTGTCCCCATAAATTCTGTTTAATTTCATCATAGATGTACTAATGGATTCAGCCCTAACTGACTTAACCGACTCAGGGATTGACTTGTTACCACCAGGTAATAATAATCTCGTTGATTTAGAATATGTAGATGATATAGTCCTGCTCTTAGGTGGTGACGACGCTGACAAAATACAGAGTCTTCTGAACACCTTGAACTGTGCAGCAATCTTCGAATGTTTGGTATGTAATTCGTTGCTGCTGTCAAATGTAAGATGATGCTACCTACAGGACTGGACCAAATCGACTCACTCCTAGCTTGAAGATAGACAGGAGTGAAATGGCTGGTGTAGCGTGTTGACCACTTCATTTATTTGCTTAATTGTATCAGCCAATACCAGCAGGTTGATCGCTGACGAAATCTCAGAACGCATACAGAAGGCTCGTTTGGGATTTGCCTGTCAACTGACGCTATCTCTGGCGTAGACGTGATATCCGGCTGGCTGTCGACCAAAGGGCATGTGTACCGCTCATCACTTCGCTTCGTCCTCCCTTATGGCTGTGAGGGAAACATGGCCACTGAGAGTGGAATACATGAAAAGGTTAGCTAGCTGTCTTTGATCATAGGTGTCTGCGTTTTGTCTCCTGTGCTAAGTGGTGTAATATGATGAGCAACAATGGGGTGAGGCGTCGGTCGAGTGCTAGATAAGGAGAGGAAATCAGTAGACAAGGTTGTGAAGTTGCATCGATTAAGAAGGTTAGGACATGTGTTAAGCATTCCCAGTCATCGCTTTCCTCGACGACAGGAAATGTTAGCTGAAATAGAATGGATGAGGTTGGATAAGAGTTAGCTAGTGGTGGTCAAACGAAAACATGACTTCATCAGTCAATGAAATCCATAACAGTTCACTTATGCCAGCCAAGTAGAGAGGTGTAGACTTCTTGACTAGTTGGTTTGGGTTCTCGGGATGGTAAAAACCAATGAAGGTTGAAGAAAAATCAGTGGTATGGCTCAAAATTGTTCGCTCAGTGGCTGGCGCAGATGCATTCACTCTTTGTGATTTATAATATCCAATGAAATTCTACTGTTCTTCCATATTACTGTCTTTTTTGCCTCATAACTGTGTTTGTTACCTCTGTTTTGAATCTTTCTTTACTTTCTTCTATTGCTTTCTATAACAACTCGAACTGCTGCACACCTGTGCAAAGTTCTACGTTGAAGCCAGTGAGTTAGTCAGGCGGTCATTTGGTAGTGAGAATTTCTTGATTAGCGACAAATATTGCCAATTATACTGAGAATACCGTAATATTACTATTATTATTCCTTTGGGTTCCGAGTGAAACATCACCATTTCATCCTATTCTGTGAAGTTTTCTTTTGCCTGCCTCTATGATTGTTCACAAGCTTTCATCTCCTCCTCCCCAAGTGATCTCCGTCATGTCATCCTCGAACTCATGCCTAACCCGTCGCTTTCTCTGTTCGGGTTCCACTCGATGGCTCGGCGAATGATGTCAACTAACGTTCTCCTCACCGTGTGTCTGATCCAACTCCATATGCTTTAGCAGATTTGCTGGAATGAGTTGTTGATTACTTCGTTCCCAGACTCTCTTGGTGTAAATTCTTCCTGGTCAACCATCTGATCTTCAGTATGAAGCAATCGAAGTGGGCGGCTGCTGATAAAGGTCTGTAGTGCAGGTTTCTGACTAAGCTGACTTTATTGTTGAGAATCCGAATCATTTTCCTTATGCTGAATGCAATAGATTTGCAGAGTGATTTAAAAGTGACGAAGGTTTGTTTTGCCATCCCGATTCTGATTTTGACATCCTCATCCGTGTCGACTTGCCTGCAGCTAAAACGATACTGACTAGATAAATGAAAGAAGTGTCCTCTTACAGACTTCTTCCATTGGTAATGGTTGGCACTTGTTGTTGGTGATGGTGCTTGATTATGAAAAATGAAGAGGAAGCAAAGAACATCCTGGATAAATTTAATGAGGTACATCCTGCAATAAATTTTACTATTGAGAAAGAAAAAGACTCTAGTATTTCATTTCTAGACGTCCTTATGACCAGAAAAGAGGATGGCACAATAAGAAGAAGTGTTTATAGAAAACCTACATCAACGGGCCAGTACACACATTTTCTCAGCTTTGTGCCCTTGAAATACAAACGCAATCCGATACAGTGCTTGGTCCACAGAGCAAGAGAGGTTTGCTCGGATGAATGTCTTGACGAGGAACTTAACAATATTAAACGGTTGCTAAGCGAGAATGGTTATCAAGAAAAGTTTATTGATAAGAATCTGAATCTGAAACCAAAACAGTCCAAGTTACCAACAGTTCCAAAGAAAGCCTTGTTCTTACAGATGCACTTCCTAGGAGACAACACAAGTGAGATACTAACACATCGCCTCAGAAATGCAGTAAAAAGAGCATTCCCTGATGCTCAATTACGCTGTATCTTCAAAACCACTCCTTTTCTGCTTTCGGGAATAAAAGACAAACTGCCTAATTTCGCCTCTTCCGTGTGTATCTACCAATTTAACTGCTCCTGTGGAGTGAGACAGTTAATTGCATAGGCCGTACAATTAGGCGTGTTCCTCGTCGAATCTCCGAACATCATCCTGCCTGGTTAAGCAAAGGTCAAACAAAATCTATTCGCAGCGCTATTCTGGCGCATCTTGTGGAGACAACACAAGACTGACGTTAATCATGCTTTCAGGGTCATCTACCGCATACCTACGAATCTCAATTTCGCCTTAAGAGGTCGACTTCTAAATATTGCTGAGGCTGTGGGGATTCATATCAATAAGCCTAATTTGTGCATCCAAAAGAAGTTATTTCAGTCATTATCATTACCTTGGCCATCCAGGTTTGAATAATCCAGAATGTTTGTGAAATTTCCCTAATTTTAGTTGATATTCTATTCGCTGTTATAACTTTATTATTATTATAATTTAAGCATCTTTAATGAACTGTAATTCCATTGCGATCTTACTTTACAAATCGATATTATTTAAAAAAACGCTAATATTGTTATTGACTACTAATTTAAAATATTCTGTGTATATAAACATATATATAATTGTAAAGCCTGGAAGAGGAATTTATCGAAAAGAATATTCTTTGCTCGATTATTTTGTGTTTTATTCTCGTTACCTCGGTCCTCTCTGTGTTCCCTAGACGTCCTAGTTTTGCTGTCCACCTCTTCTGCCAACTTGTTGGTTTTCACCTGTAATTCTCTGAATTTATCTGACACCTGACACAAATCATCCACGATGTCTTAGAGTCTTCTTATCGGTCTGTCCAACATTTTCCAGTCTTCTCACTTTCCACGACCAGACGCATAACCCAGTTCACCAAAAATTTAGGAATATCATCGTTGATAGTATTCAGTCTTGTCTTACTTTTACATTCACTTCAAAGGCTTCGCTAAGTTTTCTGTTGCGGATCACCTGACACGTGGCATTGTCATCAAGCTGTTGAATGAGATTTGGTGTACTTCATAGTTTCGAAGTAATTTCCAAATTACTTCTCGGTCAGCGTTGTCGAAGGTCTTTCCACAGTCCGTGAAGTTGATTGATGTAGAGATTTGATTGCCATTCTATACGTTGTTCGATGATAACGCGTAGAGTTGCCATTTTGATCAGTACATGATTCGCCTATCCTGAATCCAGCTTGTTCTGGGGGTGGGTGGGCGGTCGAAGTTCTGCATCCAGTGCATCTTTTATTCTCTTCAGGATGACATGACTTAGTATTTTACTTGGCATGAGTGGACAAGAGCTTGATTCCAAGCCAGTTCTTTCGGAGGCCTTAATCGCCCTTCTCTGGTATTCATTTAAATTCAAGTCATATTAAGGCTTGTACTGAGGCGATTCTGTCTATAAAGGATAGTGAAAACTTTACGATTAAACCAACAATACAGCTCAGAGAACACAACCAAGTCAAAAACTGTACTATTATTGTTATTGTCTTCTTTGATTCCTACAGGAACATAGGGCTTCAGCCGTGCGTCTCCATTGCGTTCTGTTCTCTGCTAGAGTTTTCACCTGGCTCCATGTCTGCCCACACGTTTTCATCTCCTCTTCACATGACCTCCTCCAAGTCACACTTGCAATGACGACCAACTCGCCGCTTCCCTATCAGGTTTCACTCGAGCAATGGCTTGTCTAGTGATGTCACTTGATGGTTTGTTTTCTCAGAGTATGGCCAATCCATCTATATTTCTTCCTGTCTATTTGTTTCACAATCGGTTCCTGGTTGGTTCGCTCATTGCCAGAGATCTCTGTTGCTGATCTTTTCTGGCCGGCCATCTGATCTTGAGCATTGAGCGAAGACAACTGTTAATGAAGGTCTGTAATTTGTTTGAGATGCTCTTTATGACGCTCAGTGCCAGTCTCTGATCCGTATAGTAGCACTGACTGACTTCACATTGGAGTTGAAAATCCAGATCTTATTTTTGATGCTGAGTGTTGTTGACTTCCACACAGACTTGAGAGTAATGAAGGCTTTTCTTGCTTTTCCGATCCTTGCTTTGATATCCTCATCAGTTCCGTCCGCCTGTAGTTGAAACGATGCTTCCCAGGTTACTAGTTAGGTGAAGGAGGTTGTTTCTTTCAGGTTCCTTCCATTTATGCTGATTGTTGTCTGTTGTTGTTGTTGCTGTTGGTGGTGTTGCCCAGGAATTTTAATCACCTCTGTTTTCTCTATATTCACCTGAAGTCCTATCTTTGATGCTTCTTCTGCTAACTTGTTGCTTTTCGCTTGCAAATCTTCCAGTTTGTGGGAAATCAGACATATATCATTGGCGAAGTCCAGATCCTCCAAGTTTTTTGTGTGTAATCCACAACGGGAAACTTACGGAATCCTTCGAAGTGAGGACAGGAGTAAGACAAGGCTGCCTACTATCGCCAATGATTTTCTTGATTGCAGTAGACTGGATAATGCGACAAACAGTGGACAGTGAGGAAACAGGCATAAAATGGACACACACAAAACTGTACTATAGGCTCATTATATTCCTTTTGCTGTAAATTTATATGTGCTTTTTTGAGGCGGTTGTGGTAACTTGAACTGCCGCTGTTTTTTTGTGTGTGTTCAAAGTTCAATATTGATAAATAATTTCAGTTCAAAACAAACAATGTTTATTCATCATATTATTTTTTTATAATGAAAAAAAACGCCCATTTTAATTCTCTTTAATTCTTTTAGAAATGGACAGATTATCATTTTCAATGGAATTTAAGTGATTATGAAAATATTAGACAAATAAATTTACCTCAAGAAAGAATGTGGAAACCTGATATCCTACTATACAATAGGTAAGTGAAGTAAATTACATGCCGACAAGTTAAAGAATAACGCCCATGGAGTGCGAATGCACTAATGACTTTAAACGCATATTATTTATTGGATAAACGTGATCTAGCATTATCAAATAGCGCCACTGTAAACGCTGTACACTAATTGACACGCAATTTTCATCCTAATCTCGTTTTTAAGTGCGGTTTGGTTATTAGGTTGATAGCTGTTTAGGGTTGCGGTTAAGGTTAGGAAAAAAAACTTGGATTTTGAGTAATAATGTTCATTCAATTCTTCTATATAAGTATTACGCGCGTCGGTGGCACAGCGGTAGAGTGCTTGCCAACCAACCACGCAGGTGGTCCGGGGTTCTATCCCCGAGCGTTAACTTACTCCTTTACCTCGCTAAGCCAGTAATAAGACTGGTTAAGTGAGAAGGTTAGGCATGGGGCTGGCTAGCAACCACATCCCATAGAAATAAACACCACTGCTACCGAAAATTCAACCGTTACCAACAGATACCCACTTCACTGACTCCTTACTGAAGATCAGAATGGCCAGCCAGGAAGAATCAGCAACAAATAACTCTGAATCAACCAAGAAACCATTGCTCAAAAACTATGGCGTAAGAAATGCAGATGGATCGAACCCACTCTCAGGAGACCGTTGAATGACACCGCATGCCAGACTATTGCTCGTGTGTAAGGTGAATGCGAAACGGCTATATGGGCGTTCGTCCGAGCGAGGAGATCGTTTTTCAAGTTTTAGGCTGTTCACTTTTCTGGTAAATAGATGGTATTTATATATAACAAACACCGGTTATTCTCAAATATTGGTTTTTGTAGGAATTTGATTGATTGGTTACTGGATTTCATCATGGGCTGACATCGTTTAGAGAACCACTGGAGAGCCTGCAGGGAGTAGTGGACAGCTAGCTGTTTCATCTTAGTTTGAAACTCTTCATCAGAACGCACCCACCGAGTGTGAGGACAAATACTCACCGAAGACATTGGCTAGCGGTCGCGTTGTGTCGTGGATTGGCGGAAGTTGGAATTCATGGACTGGTCATTGGATCGGGTCCCAGTGGTTGAATGGTCTATGAGTTCGTCTTATAACCAGAAGGTCCTGAGTTCGAACCCCTGTGGTGGGTGCGTACTGATGAAGAGTCCCAAACCAGGACGAAACAGCTGTCCAGTACTCCTAGTTGGTTTTCCAGTGGTTCTCTAACTGATGTCAGCTCATGATGAAATCCTCCATGCAATCAGTAATGTATTGATCGATCTGAAAATCACAGTGTTTTTAGTATTCGTTTGTCCCATTCTCTCCCAGTGAATGAAATACTCTTTATTTTATTTGTATTTTTTAGTGCTAGTGAAAAATTTGATCAAATGTTCCCCACTAAAGTGACAGTAAGAAATAATGGACAGATTCAATGGGTTCCACCGGGTCTCTTTCATTCAATATGCGATATTGAAGTCAATTGGTTCCCTTTTGATTCTCAGGTAAGCAGTTTTTTAAAAAAAATGTTCATTTCAGTTCTAAGTGGGACGTACGTATAGCTTCAAGCTAGTGCTTCGAAGTTGGGGTTGCTAGCCTCACGCTAGCCTAACCTTTCCTCTTTACTACCGGGGAGGCGAGGTTTAGGAGTGTGTTGGCAGTCGGCGATCAAACCCCGGACTAGTCTACTACCACTAAGCCACCGACGCACATCAAAAGTAAGCAATAGATAGACTAAAAGGCGTGAGAAGGCCTATTTTAAATATAACTTCGGATAGTTAAGTGGTAACTAATTGTTGAATTTATATAAAATTGAAGGTAGAAGTTCTAAATTATGTCACTGTTTTCACGATGTGAAAATTTGTCTCAATATCCTTTGAAAACCAGAATTATTTGGATCACAATATATGATTTTAAATCAGAGTCGGAAAGGCAAGTTAGACCTTCGTCACTGAAATAATTTCGGGAAACTTCTGTATTCATAACGAGAAATTCTGTTTCTACGAGTTGCTTACGAATTGATATGAAGTAGAGAACCATTGGAAACCAGCACCAGAGTACCGGACAGCTATTTCATCATCCTAGTTTGGGATTCATTGGCACTACGCAACCACTGCCAAGGTTCGAACCCAGGACCTCCTGGTTACAAGGCAAGCTAGCTCGTAGACCATTCAGTCACTGGGATCCGATTCAATGGCCAGTTCTACCAATTCTTGATTTCAGTGCAATCACCAATCAATGTCATCGGCGGGAATTCTATCCCCACTCCCGACTGCATGGACCCCACTGGTCACGACTTCTCACTAGAACTCCAGGAAACTGCAACCTCTAGCAAGTTACTAGTGAGCATCAGATTAATTTTATATAGTTTGGTTTGTAAGGGTTAGTTTTGTTTTTAAGAGTTGATATCAAGCTGTCCAGTACTCCCTGTGGGGCTGGTTTTCAATGGTTCTCTAACTGATATCAATCCGTGATCAACTAGTAAAAAAAAACCTAACCCTTAAAAAAGACCGACTATAGAAAGACTGAAAAGTATTGAAAATCATTCTTTTTTGTTCGGACAATCAATTGACGCTTGCAAATGTTGATAAATTACAATCTCTATAAGTCTGTTTCTAATGTAAATTTTCGCTTTTTTAAATATTACTGCTTTTCCTAGAATTGTATTTTGAAATTTGGTACATGGACGTATCAGGGGAATAAAGTTGATTTAAAGCTACAATGTGATAATGAAACTGGTGAAGATAAACCTTGTCATTATGTAAATGAAGTCGATTTATCCACCTATTTAGCTAATAGTGAATGGGCTTTAGAAAGTGAGTGATATTCAATAATTTTATGTGCTTATATGTATAGTTTTCGAGAGTTATTCTATTGAAAAACATCAAGGAGTACCGGGCAGCGCTCTTTTGTCCTACAAACAAACTTTTAAAAATTAAACTGATGCTTGCTAGTGGCGGACTAACTGGCTACACGACTAATTTCCATGAAGTTCTAATTGGAAGTCATGACCAACAGCGTCCACCTGGTAGGTCGATGATATTGGCTGGCGCCAGTCACGCTAAAATCACGAATTGATAGAAGTTGGAATTCATGGAATGGCCATTGAGTCGGATCCAAGTGGGCGTGAACTGCCGATAAGTCCCAAACTACAACGAAAGAGCGCTGTCCAGCATTCCCTGATGGTTTTCAATCGTCCTCGACCTAAATTATATATTTTAAAAGGAAGGGTTAATGAACAAAGAATACTCTTTTTGATAACTTCATCATCAGGCTCTACAGTTATATATACATATATAATAGTGAATGAATGAATTAGTGTTATGAACAACAATAATGCTGGCTAAATAACATCGAATCAATAATATTGATAAATTGCAGTTCAAATAGCATCAACATAAAATAAGCTGAATGCTATAAAAATTAGGAAAGATAATATTACAAATTCATGAATTTATACTTTCTACTGAAGGCTGGCCAGGGCAGTAATAGTTGCCTGGCTGAACTTGCTTCTTTTGCACCCAAAGCACTGGTTGTTTTACGTGATTCGCGATTGCATCTGCTGTTTGGAGCATGCGGTATCTCGATGTTTTTCGCAATTTATTCGGTACTCGGTATATGATAGAGAAGGATTCTTCAATACTGGCTTTGTGGCCGGTCGGTGTGAACCAGATGGTTTAATATCTAACTGCTGACGATGGTTTTTACTACACCTTTACTCGGACACACTGGTAGATGTTTCCGAGTGAGCACGAAAAATCAAGTTCCTAGAGCAATGGCCGATATAACTCGCTCCAGCACAAGCGCAGCTGAATTGGTAGATACCATTGGAAGTGGCTAGTCTAGGTACTTAACCTTTCAATAGAGGAATTACCATCGTTCGTGTAGAGAATAAGACGTGTATTTCGCCAGCATTAAAAGTTCTTTGAACTTATTTACATATATACATATATATATATACATAAAGTGTTCTCAAAATGAAATTAGCCCTCAAAATCTTATGTTTAAAGGTGATGAAAGGCAACATAACTTCCAAACTTTATTTGTATAATTCCATTATTCATTATGCTTTAATTTTTTGTTGGTGGTAATATATATGTTCAACATATCTTTGTTGCTAACATTGTGTCATTTGATGCGATGAACAAAGAATCGGTGATCAACCTCTTTCTCTTTCTCCCACCTCACCTAACCGTATTAAAACGCAGTATAATTAGATGCAGGGAGGGAGGAAGGCAGTGAGGCTAATTACCGAATCTTTGTTCATCAAAAAATTCAAATAATCCAGGATATATGGAAGAGTTGGTGGCACAGTGGTTACGACGCTCACCAATCACCTCTCATGTGGTCCGAGGTTTGATCCTCGGCCGACGTACTCCTTTACCTCGCTAAGCCAGTAATGAAACCGGTAAAGAGGAAAGGTTGCGCATGAGGCTGACTAGCAACCCCATCCCGTAAAAATAAAAACATCACTGCTACCGAAACTTTAAGACTCTAGTTTGAATCCGCATATGTTCCACTGGGAACGTGTAGGAGTAAAATAAGGACATATGGAAACTAGTCATGAGGTTGTGTGAGTAAACTGTTATGATTATGAGTAGTAACGGTGAATTATCTTCGAAACGGTGTCATCCAGATATCTATACACTGTATCACATTTATTATGTCTTAAGTGAAATAAGCTTGATCTCATATCCTGAAGGTCCCAAGTTTGATCAGTTGTGGGGTTGTGGGTGCGCACTAACGAAGAGTCCTAAAATGGGACGAAACAGCTGGTTGTCCGGAGCTCTGTACTGGTTTTCAATGATTTCTCCAACTGATGTTTATTTGTGAAGAACATTTTATACACCTACACACTACTGTTACTTGAAGAAGTTAGTCTAAGTAACACTATCTGGAGAAAATTCACAGTTTTTGAAAGTAATAAGGCACCATTTTATTGTCTCTTACTTCTATCTTAGGAGTAACAATTTCGAATTCTATTTCATATCAAAATTCTAGTGTACAATGTAAATTCTAATCATAATGGTTATTGATTGTTCGACAGTATTTTCCGAGGTTTGGTCGCTAGCCCCACGTCAAACCTTCCCTCTTTTTCAGTGGCTTAAGATCAACTAGTAAGTATACTAGGCGACATAAATACTCTGAAGGATCTGGACTTCGTGGATGATCTCTGTCCAATGTCCAAAAATGAGCGAAGGTCTATAGGTGAAGTTAGTTTTCAAGAGTGTCTCGAAGGTTCTGTGGTAGATTAGTCTCCAGCCGCCTGTAAAGTTCAGATGAGATTCTCAGTCGACAAACACTACCAAACCTCGCGTAGCAGATAGATGGTAGTATGACCGGAAAAGTGTGGTGGGGTTTGGGCGTGAGGCTAGCTACTCCACTTCGAAGAGAGAAACAAAACCACTGATACTGTAACTCTAAATATTGAAGCCAATATGGAGTTTTAAAGTACTCAGTATTCAACAACAGTGGTTACAGATATCACATCTTGAGTCTTGGTCAAAATTCGTGTACATGGAACTCACTTACCTTGAACAGACTTTTCAGTTAACTGTGAAGTGAGCCACACTAGGTGCTTAGGTTGAATTAGGCGGAATGGGATTCGAACCCAGGATAGAATTCAGATACATTTTGTGCTTTAGACACTGACATGAATGATATATCACTGTCAGATAGTATTGTGGTTATTTGCCCTCAAGAATCAGTCGAAATCATCCTTTGAGTAAATAACGACAGCATGTATTGAGACTTATGAACTATTGCGAAGGAAATCGCATGCAGATTATGATTTGATCTGTTTAAGATCACTGCTGGTTAAACCCAATATATAACTGGAAACTATAACCGTTCTTGAGAAATTTACATAATAATAATATAAGGATTTATTCAGGATAGAGGTAGATTCAGTTGATGAGTCTCAGACAGGACGAAACTCGCATCCTATATTCCACTGTTAGCCACTGTCATAACTTAATAGCAAGACTGTTATCAGATTGACGTTATTTCGTGGAGAAATATACTCTGAAATCTATGAAACTGCTATCAGTATTCTAGTTTACAGTACGATTGTGCTCTGGTACACTTTATGCAAGAATAAATTAAGCATATTGTGCATTCCTGTTTAATATCTGTGGCTTGAAGAATATATCCAGTTTAAATTCTGTTGTTTTGCGTTATGATATGTATGTATGTATGTAAATGTGACCGTACAGCTAAACAGGAAGATGAATTCATTGAGAAAGAGCCTCTTGGCTGAAATACACCTGTTGTTTTATTCTTTTCTTAAATGTCTGAATGAGGAGTATTCATTCACTAAGACTAAACTAAACTATTTTATGCTTCAATAATGAATATCTTTTTGATTTTTGTTGTGTTTAATTCTGTTTTTTTTTGTCTTCACCCGCAAAGAGGGTTTAGTGAAACGAAATATTCAAACCTACGGTAGTGATGATCAAACGTATATCGATGTGACTATAAATGTTTATATGCAACGTCGTGCTCTTTACTATGTGTTCAATATTATAATACCATGTATGATAATGTCGGTGATGGCATTGCTTGTATTCACTCTACCACCTGAAGCAAATGAGAAAATTGTACTGGGTAAGTCGAATTTGACTAGTTTTTTTATAATTTCATGGTTTGATATCAGTTAGAGACACCACTATTGAATACCAGCTGGGGGTACTGGAAAGCAGTCTTTTATCCCAGTTTGGGGCTCGTCGGCAGTACACACCCACTGCCAGGGTTCCAACTCAGGACCTTCCGATTACAAAGCCAGGCTTGTATACCGATCATTCAGCCACTAGGATCCGATCTAATGGCCAGCTCATGAATTCTAACTCCTGCCGCTTCGTGATTTTTGTGCAAACACCAGTCAACGTCATCAGTGAGTATTTGTCCTCACTCCCGACCTGATGGACCCTACTGGTCACGACCCGACCGATAGCTGCTACCTTGACATGATAGACAGGCTTGCATGTCACAATGACCTAACGGGCTACACAGGCTGGAACTAATGTTCCTGAAGGTTCTACTATGCCAGGAAGATTGCTAGGATAGTGATTAGACTAAAAGCAGCTACCGGCTTATTGTAAGATTTTTTCTACACTATGCTGGGAGTCTGTAGGCGAAGTCGTACTGCTAGGGAGTAGGGATGTTACAGCAGTAAGGTGTTTGCCTCAGATTACCAGCATGCCAGCCAGCTATACTGTCTCTCCACTCCGTTGAGTGGTAGGAGGGGTTAAAAAGGGTCGAGCCCAAAAACTGTACATCCTGACTTACCCTACGGTGGTTCGTAGCCGGCGGTAAGTTACTAGTGTGGGACCAGACCAAAGAGTCAGTTCAGACAGGCCGTATGTCCTCTGGGCTCTTCAGTCACTCAACACTAATTCTCCTTTTGTTTCAGGTACCTCGAGAATTAATCGACTTCCACAGTGTGAGCAGCCGAGAAGTATCAACCACCCACACACTTCCAAAAGCACACAAAGCCCTCCTGATCATCCTCCTCCTTTATCCCTGTCACCCTCATCACATTGCTTCCCTTATTTCTATCAGTACTATTCTGCAGGCTAGTCAGTCATCTTCATTTCATTCTGTGATCACAAATAACAATGAGAGCCAGAAAAATACCCCCGATAGCCTCTTAAAGCCACGTCGCCAACTTCATATAGGAGCATCCAATGTCAGGACCCCCTACCAAATCGGACAACAGGTATCACTAGTAAGAAGTCTGACATCTCGAACCATGGATGTATGTTATGTCGCAGAGATGCGCATACAAGAAATCCTCTAACTAATAATGCACTGTGTTCAAAACTTTGTCATCCAGTAAATACTAATTATAATAGTAATAATAATAATAATACTGTTTCATACAGTGTGATGATATATCCAATAAACAATAAAGTTGGAATTCATGGATCGCTGGATCGGGTCCCAGTGGCTAAATAGTTTACGAGCTCGTCTTGTAACTAGAAGGTCCTGGATTCAAGTCCGTGTAATAGGTATGTACTGGTGAAGAGCCTCAAACTTGGATGAAACTGCCGTATAGTGCTCCTTACACGTTTTCCAATGGTTCTCTAACCGATGTGAGTTCATGATGAAATCACCTGATCAAATTAATATGGAGTTACATACTATTGTAACGAAAGAAGACAAGGGCTAGGCAACAGATCGTATATTGAGAAAATCAAGAGATATTTATAGATTTTTATTTATATTATTATTCGAATAAGGCATTAAGAAGACAAATTTCGCGAGATGATATCATTTCGTAGTTTCTTTACAACCGCTTTACAACTAACATGGTTAACAATAATAAACTAAAGTTCATGACAATTACTCAGTTAAATAAAAACAAAAGTACATACTAATGACCAATCATATTTATATAGGTCAAGTAGTCCAGGGTAGGCGAAGATTGAAGTCTATTGATTTTTGTACACACAGTTTAGGCTGTATGTGATTAATCCAAAGTGCTTCCATCACCTTCAATAACCTTGAATTAGAGTTATGTGAAATAATTGTAAAACAGTCATTAATATTTATTTTGTGACCTGACATTAATAAGTGTTTTGCAATGGATGATGCTGGATTTCTATTCAGATTACTGGCATTGGGATTTTCTATGTGATTTAGTAGCCATTTTGGAACATGTTCTTTCCGACGACATTGGAACATTCTGTTGGTTCTACCTATATAGGTGTCACCGCAGCTGCAGGTGAACTTGTAGATACAGTTTGAAGTAGAGTCCACAGAATTTCGTCCTTTAATCGTAGGTACAGGGATTGAAAATGTTCGGCAAGTGAGGAAAAGAGATGCGGCGTAGAATGTGCGTTTGATGGCTGACCGGAGTCTTTGAGCTGTCAATTGCATAATCTGATCACCCTTGAATGGTAGGTTAATAAAGATAGCTTTCTTTGGTACCGAAGCTGTCTTTTCAAGATGTGGTCTTTCTTTACTGTGACAAGTGATAAAGTTTTCCGGATAACCATTAGCTAATAAAACTGAATGTATATGTCGAAACTCCTCCATCACTGTGTCACTCGTGCATATTTTTCGGGCCCTTGAAAACAAACATTTCACTAAGGAACGTTTATACTGGATAGGAACAAAACTGGTAAAATGAAGATATTGTCCACTCCACGTTTGTTTACGAAAAATAGATCTCTGAATCGTACCATCATCTCTCCTGGTCATTGTAATATCGAGGAACCCGAGTTTGTTATTCGATTCGCGTTCGGAAGTCACTCGGATATTTGGATGAATATGATTAAATAGAGTAATAAAGTTTTCAATAGATTTAATATTATCACCAATAATGAGAGTATCATCTACATAACGTTTGTACAGTATAAATTTTCCAAGCATACCTTGCATTTGTCTCTCCAATTTCGACATGAACATATCTGCCAACAGGGGCCCAAGAGGGCTACCCATCGCAACACCATCAATTTGTTTGTATGCCTTTTCTTGAAAGGTGAATCTAATATTTTCTGTACACATTAAGATGATGTCTCTGATGTAAGTTACAGGAATAGGTAAGTTTATCCCACTGCTTGTGATGTAATCGCAAATGAAATCAACAGTTTCATTAAGGGGAACATTAGTGAATAAAGATTCTATGTCAATTGAACACATAACCTTATCCTTGATGTTCAAGGTGTTTAGCGTATCTGTTAGATCAAATGAACTTTTTAAAGAATGATTTGATAATGAGTCTCTTACAGGCGTAAGGACTTCTGTAATCCATTTTGCAATTTTGTGGTATGGAGAACTCGACATGTCTAAGATGGGTCTCAGCGGGTTTCCAGTTTTGTGGATCTTCGGAAGGCCATAAAGCTGGGGAGTATGTGACCCAATTGCTTTAAGTTGTTTATAGAGTTTTTCATCTATAAAACCATGCATCAGTAAAATCTGAAGCTGACGGTTGATCTGCTTTTCCACAAGCAGCACATTATCAGTAGCATTGTCCACCAGAAATTTGGACTGATCTTTGAGGATATCATTCATTTTATTTTGATAATCCGATTTGTTCATAATGACAACGCCTTCTCCCTTATCAGGTTTAAGGATAATAAGATTATCTTTTTCAATTAATTATCCTTAAACCTGATAAGGGAGAAGGCGTTGTCATTATGAACAAATCGGATTATCAAAATAAAATGAATGATATCCTCAAAGATCAGTCCAAATTTCTGGTGGACAATGCTACTGATAATGTGCTGCTTGTGGAAAAGCAGATCAACCGTCAGCTTCAGATTTTACTGATGCATGGTTTTATAGATGAAAAACTCTATAAACAACTTAAAGCAATTGGGTCACATACTCCCCAGCTTTATGGCCTTCCGAAGATCCACAAAACTGGAAACCCGCTGAGACCCATCTTAGACATGTCGAGTTCTCCATACCACAAAATTGCAAAATGGATTACAGAAGTCCTTACGCCTGTAAGAGACTCATTATCAAATCATTCTTTAAAAAGTTCATTTGATCTAACAGATACGCTAAACACCTTGAACATCAAGGATAAGGTTATGTGTTCAATTGACATAGAATCTTTATTCACTAATGTTCCCCTTAATGAAACTGTTGATTTCATTTGCGATTACATCACAAGCAGTGGGATAAACTTACCTATTCCTGTAACTTACATCAGAGACATCATCTTAATGTGTACAGAAAATATTAGATTCACCTTTCAAGAAAAGGCATACAAACAAATTGATGGTGTTGCGATGGGTAGCCCTCTTGGGCCCCTGTTGGCAGATATGTTCATGTCGAAATTGGAGAGACAAATGCAAGGTATGCTTGGAAAATTTATACTGTACAAACGTTATGTAGATGATACTCTCATTATTGGTGATAATATTAAATCTATTGAAAACTTTATTACTCTATTTAATCATATTCATCCAAATATCCGAGTGACTTCCGAACGCGAATCGAATAACAAACTCGGGTTCCTCGATATTACAATGACCAGGAGAGATGATGGTACGATTCAGAGATCTATTTTTCGTAAACAAACGTGGAGTGGACAATATCTTCATTTTACCAGTTTTGTTCCTATCCAGTATAAACGTTCCTTAGTGAAATGTTTGTTTTCAAGGGCCCGAAAAATATGCACGAGTGACACAGTGATGGAGGAGTTTCGACATATACATTCAGTTTTATTAGCTAATGGTTATCCGGAAAACTTTATCACTTGTCACAGTAAAGAAAGACCACATCTTGAAAAGACAGCTTCGGTACCAAAGAAAGCTATCTTTATTAACCTACCATTCAAGGGTGATCAGATTATGCAATTGACAGCTCAAAGACTCCGGTCAGCCATCAAACGCACATTCTACGCCGCATCTCTTTTCCTCACTTGCCGAACATTTTCAATCCCTGTACCTACGATTAAAGGACGAAATTCTGTGGACTCTACTTCAAACTGTATCTACAAGTTCACCTGCAGCTGCGGTGACACCTATATAGGTAGAACCAACAGAATGTTCCAATGTCGTCGGAAAGAACATGTTCCAAAATGGCTACTAAATCACATAGAAAATCCCAATGCCAGTAATCTGAATAGAAATCCAGCATCATCCATTGCAAAACACTTATTAATGTCAGGTCACAAAATAAATATTAATGACTGTTTTACAATTATTTCACATAACTCTAATTCAAGGTTATTGAAGGTGATGGAAGCACTTTGGATTAATCACATACAGCCTAAACTGTGTGTACAAAAATCAATAGACTTCAATCTTCGCCTACCCTGGACTACTTGACCTATATAAATATGATTGGTCATTAGTATGTACTTTTGTTTTTATTTAACTGAGTAATTGTCATGAACTTTAGTTTATTATTGTTAACCATGTTAGTTGTAAAGCGGTTGTAAAGAAACTACGAAATGATATCATCTCGCGAAATTTGTCTTCTTAATGCCTTATTCAAATTTATGAAACGGACTAATTGTTTCACATTATTATTCGTTATTTTAGCAGAGAAGCAGCGTCTTCTGATTGGTTGTTTACTTGCTGAAGGTTATTCTGTCATCTCTTGCGGCCGTTTCTTGGAAACTTTAGCCATATATCTGTGAATCATATTTTCACACGCTAAGTCTTCTGTGATTGGTTGTTGAGTTCCTCAAAGTTAAGCTTTGTTATCGTTTTTCTCATGACCCTGATTCCGGACGTAACAGTGACGTAAACTGTTGTTTACAATTTTGGCTTGTTCGCAGTCAGTTCTCACCACACTAACACAATGGTCCAGTTTTACACGCATATCATTATATATTCTGTCATTCACACATCAAATGGACATTAATCATAGTTTATTTTTTTTCCCCTCCTTTGTAGGCGTGACTACTCTGCTTTCATTGACTATGCTGTTACAGCTTGTCGGCGATAAACTACCTCAAACGTCATCAGGCAATCCTGTACTTGGTTAGTTGTTAAAATCTTGGCACATTTATATACTTTTTATTGATTATATATATATATATATATTCAAATAGCTGATCAGTGAGTCAGTCAAGAATATTCACATTTTTGATAACTTCTTCTTCATCAAGTCCTACAGTTATATGCATCCGTAGTCATTAAAGAATTATTGTTTATTACCAACATTCATGTTTTGAATTATATTGAGTCAATAAGGTCGATAGATTACAGTTCGAAAGCATCTGTAAATGATACTAGGAGTCTCTATAACACTTAACAGGATGTCGGGTAAATTGGGGAATGTAATACAGAATTTATGAATTTTCTAGGTTCCAGAAGACGCGAGGGTAGCAACAGTGGTTGGATATGTTTATTTTTGCTCGCAAGGCTCCAGCTGATTTAAAAACAGCTACCCTGGAAAGTCTTTATATATACGACTGAAACTGAAAGGTGATGTACCAAGCGACATAATGATCAACAAGTAACAAGCGTTTAGTGCCGGTAAGCTGCAGCTTACATTTTCCACACAACCAGCTGTCGTTCCGAAACTACCTCCAATTATATCTGTCAGTTTGGCCGCTCTTGTGGAGCCAGTTATATTCCGCGTTGCTCTAGGAACTAAATTTTTTGAAATCAAGGACACCTACCAGTACGGGCGTAGTGAAAACCATCAACACCTCGATATTAGACCACCTGGTCCGAAACGGACACAAAGCTGGCTGTGAAGAATCTTTTTCTATCATCTGTTGGGTACTGGATAGATTTTCAAAGGCATTCAAGTACTGAATACTCAAAATGGAAGAGGCCTCTGTAATTCGCTTAAATCAACTCGAGCTCCGAGTACAGGTCTAGCCGCTACTTTCTTACCTTGACCTGCTGTCGAACCTAAAAATTCATAAGTTATGTAATTGTTATTCATACTTTATGCAATTACGTGATATTATTGTGTGGTAGTAATTATGTTATAAATTATGTGTGTAACGAGGAGAACTAGCTATGAAGTTAGAATGTAAAATAAAACGAACAGAAGAAGGTAAACTGCACACTGGCGTTTATAAAAAGCCAACGCATTCTGCTAATAGATATTTAGACTTTAATTCATCTCATCCGTTATCTCTCTGTGAAGGCAAGCTTAGTTAAGTGTCTAACAAACCGAGCAATAGCACTAAGTAGTACAACTAAAAACTTAAATGATGAAATGAAACAGATAGAAAAGGCGTTGGTGTTAAATAACTAACCATCCTACAGAATTCATTAGGAAGATCAGAGAAGGTGAAAAGCAAAATAAAAGTAATGGTGAGACTAAGAATGACAACATAATTAAGAAAGAGTATAAGGCAACTACAGTTTTGTCATATAAAGAGGGGATATGTGAGACCTTCCCCACATAGGATTCTTAATAAGGCAGGAATTAGGGCGACATTAAAACCTACAAAATCACTCAGAGACAAGCTGTGTAGTTTAAAACGACCCTGTTGACCCAATTAGACGAAATAATATAATTCACAAAATATCTTGCAATGACTGTCAGTGAGGTCAACTATATAGGTCAGTCAAACTAGTAGATCAGGAGTAGTGAGATTATCAGAACATAAGAATTTAGCTAAGGTGAGAATAACTTAATTCCACGAAGATAAGTAATTTAGAAACAAAAACTCAGCTATTGCACTGCATACATTAACACACAACCACACACACAATGGGGTGTGTGGGACAGAGTCAAAATTCTAAAGAGTAATATAGGTAGGTAGACAGCGAGAGAGATTGATTTCTGAATCCTGGTTCATCGAATAATCTACACCCAACACAACACATGCAATAGAAGTGACTCGACGCAAATATCAGAGATATGTATGGAAGATATTATCACCAGTCAGTTAAATCGGAAGAGGATAATAAATAATCTTAAAGTTCTATCTCAATTCACGTACATTCTAACAAGTTATTTATTTATTTTACTACAAGAACATCTTATTTCCCATCTGATTGTATTTGATTGATAACACTAATATTATTATTTCTGAATGTACTTTCTCATCTTATATTAATTTTATTCAAATGTCTAATCATCAATTTTTACTCATGTATATAAAAGAAGCAAGAAAGTTGTGTGAGGGTGAGTAATGCCTTGAATAGATTATGAGCAGTAGCAATAAATTGTGCTCGAAAGGTGGTCATCACTAAATATTACTGTGTAACAAACACCGTGTGATTTATCTAAATAAAATTTTGCCCATAATGGAGTTATACTCTACCACAGTGCCCAAGTTTTATACTTGCCTCAGTGTAATACTTCCCTTAATTTATCTAATATTTAATTTAATATTATATTTTTATGCCATATTACAATGTTACAGATGCTTTCGAACTATAATCTATTGATGTAAATGACTGGATGGCATTGGAAAGACAATAATGCTGTTGTCACCAATATTTCTTCATTTATTATGGTCATATAATTGTAAAATCCCTGATGACGAGATTGTCAAAAAGAATATTCTTTATCCATTGATGAATCTTGTAAATTTTTAAAAGGCATGTTCAATGAAGACTGATTCTCCTTTATCAGGTCCTACAGTTATACTTACATATTCTTAATAATTACAGAATTATTGCTATCGATAACATTAAATTGAATGTCAGATTTCAAAAGCAGATGTTCATGAATAACACCGAATATATAGGGTATAATCAATGCTCATGATTAATGTTCGTAATGAATTGTATTCATACTGTTTATAAATTTCCTATAGATGCTTAATAATATCAAAAACAGGGAGAGAAAATGGTTTAGCTGGCTTTGGTTTTTTTGTGTGTGCACCAGTGTGTAATTTAATGCTTAATTTTAGTGACTTGCTACAGGATGGAGTTTCCTGGTGTTCTAGTGAGGAGTCGTGACCAGTTAGGTTCATCCAGTCGGGAGTTAGGATGGATTTCCCACCGATGACATTGGTTGGTGGTCGCGCTAAATATCACGAATTGGTAGAAATTAGAATCCATGGACTGGCCATCGAATCGAGTCCCAGTGGTCTACGAGCTTGACTCATAACTGATAGGTCCTGGGTTAGAACCCCTGTGGTAGGTGCGTACTGATGGTGATTCCCAAACTAAGTTGCTACAGCTGTCCAGTACTCCAGCACTGGTTTTCAATGGTTCCCCAGCTGATATCAATCCGTGGTCAAGCTAGTAAAAACAAATTAAATCCTTATAAACCAACTCTTGGAAAGACGAAGTTTAAATAAGAAAATAAATGGTTTGTTCATACATGTACAATAATAATACCTACAGGATGGAAGGTCATACCTAACAGGTGAGAAGTAGTAATACGGTATTTATAAATTTTTTAGATTCCACAACAGGCTAGGTTACCAATAGTGACTAGATACATATTCCTTTGGCACGCGAAGCTGCGTTTGTTGTTTTAAGCAAATCATAATAGCCTCTACTGTTTGAAGCATTTGCTTATAGATAGGCTTTTGGTAATTAATTTGATACCCGACAGATGATAGAAAGAGACTTTTCAGTGCTATTTTTATGACGCGTTTATGTCAGGTGGTTTAATACCGAACTGTTTATGGTTTTCACTACATCTTTATTTAGTCCGTACTGGTAGGTGTTCCAGAGCAAGGAAAACTAAGTTCCTAGGAGAAAGGCCAATACAATTGTCTCTATAGAGGCAATTAAATTGATAGAAATAGCCTGCGTAAACTTCGTCTTTCAGTTGAGGAATCACAATCAGTCGTGTGCAAAATATGCGCTATAGTTTACGGAAATTAAAAAGTTCTATGGATCGATATCTGTGACTTGGAGGTTATTAATACACCTGGTATGTCATATTTGGATTACAGTTGCATATATAGAGGCTTCTTATTTGCAGATACAAAAGAGTTTGCTAAGACTCTCTTGGTCATTTATTTCATGATGATCTTCTCTGGATAGCCATTTTCATTTCATATACAATCTTTAGTTCATCTTCAGTTATATCTTCTGAACAAATAGATCTGTCCCTGTAGTTGAAGGTCTTTAGCAAATTCCTTTCGTACAAAAAGAAGTGTGTATGTTGTCCTGGCCATATAATTTCCCTAAGCAAGCTTCTGGTTTTCTTGTCAGAAGAACATCTAAGAAGGCGATTTTCCTTCCGGGGTTCTTCCTCTTCTTCATATGTGATACTGGTAGCTGAATATGATTCACTGAAATCAATCGATGAGGCTGTGAAGCTATATCGACTAAGATGGTTAGGACATGTGTTACGTATGCCTTCTTGTCCCCTTCCTCGACAGGTAGTGTTAGCTGACATAGGGTCAGGCTGGAAAAGAGCCAGCGGCGGTCAGACCAAAACATGGTACCAGTAAATGAAATCCACAAAAGTTAGTTTAAGCCAGCCACGTAGAAAGGTGTAGACCTCCTGACTGGTTGAGGTCCTCGGGACGGTAAACCCCAATAGCTGGAGACAATCGGTGATATGGCTGAAAATCGTTCTCAATGGCTGGCGCAGATGCATCCTCTCCATTGTGACTTATAATTTCCAATGAAACTGTATTGTTCTGCGATATTATTATTCCTTTTGTCTCATATTCCTGTCTACTGTCTCTATTATGCATTTCTCTTTAATTTCTTCTCTTGCTTTGTGTGCCACACAAGGAGGGAGTTTGGCGACTTGAACTGCTGCACATCAGTGCAAAGTTCCATATCGAAAACACACAGATTGAATTAACTTATTATTTCGAGCTTGTTTATATCATTTTGTACAAAGGATAAGTGTATCACATGTATATACCAGCAATAAAATATCAGTTTTCCCTAATAGGATTATTTATAGAAGAATCTTTTTTTTATTTTAAATGGAAAGAGACATGAACTTTTATAATTTCTTCGCCTTTTTTTCTCTTTTTTGCTTTCAATTTCATGAAAACATCACTTTCTATTGAAAACAATTCACATGTGGGACAAAAATAAATGATAAAACAAATTATCCTCTGTTGTTGTATGCTATATATATAGTTTTGTACTTCACGTGTACAATGATCTTGTGTTCGCTTTCATTGGTCTGTGCTGTGGTTCTGTTAAACTGTCATCATCATACTGGTGGAATTGTTTATGTCCCATGGTGGGTAAGTTCTATTCTGAGTGTGCTTTATGCTTTCTTTTTTTTAATGTATTGTACAATGTATAATTTAGGTAGTGTGGAATACTGAAAGTGAACAAGATAATAGTAGACTTGGGTTCATTTCACCAATATTCAGCGGTTCTGCCTCAATGTCTTCAGGGTTTTACTGACTCATAGAGAGATATCGGAAGGGAAATGTTGACCTGTGACTGTAAGAATAACTTTATTAGACAAAATTACATCGTATATATATATGCACTGCTAACCCAGATATAAAACAAGGTTGGGTCACATACTCAAATTCGTTGAAGCTATGGCCATAAAAAGGCTTAAACCTGTCTGCCGTATTTGTCCAAAAGTTAACTGTTATTACTTTAAACCAGCCTTAGCATTTCAGTTTAGAACCAAGGATCAATTTACTTCATAATATTTTCTCTTTCTTACCCACACCTTTGCGTCACGCACCTAACCATTTTTTGTGACCTCAATCTGTACACAATGTGAAATGTCTTGTAATGATTCACGCCAACTCTTGCCTTCTATAAAACTGTGTATGACAAGTACTAGTGTGTGTGTGTGTGATTAGAATATCCGAAATGTGTTGGGAAATTTTTTTCTATTGCTGTGAAGTTTCCAGTTGCAGTGGTGTTTATTTTTACGGGATGGGGCTGCTAGCCAGCCTCATGCTCAACCTTACCTCTTTACCAGTCTTATTACTGGCTTAGAGAGTTAAAGGAGTGCGTCATCCAGGGATCGGACCCCGAACCACGTAGGACGTGGTTGACGAGTATCCTAACGCTGTGCCACCAACAGACGATGGGCAAATACATTACACCTTTCAGATAAACTACGTCTTTTTATTGTGTTGTCAAAATTCATAAAGGAAACTAATTGCGTCAGTGGCACAGTGGTTAGGATTCTCGCCGACCATGCACATGGTCCGGGGTTCGATCCCCTGCCGACGCACAACTGATATCTATGATCGGCCTGCTAAATATGGGCTACCTCTATCACATGCTGAAAATTCCATACCTGTACCAAAAAATACGGTGTGGAATCAAGCTGTAATAAAAAAATAATAATATTAATAATATTTAATTCTATTGGAGCTGAGACTAAACTCTTTTACGTTGTAGGATTTGAATGCATAATCTCATATCTTGCTCCTATTGTTAAGGCTTTTATCTCAACTTGATAACGGGAGCTTTGTTTATCGAATCAACTGCATACGCGTGTAATAGGAATGATTTAACGCCTGTCCCAGATATCTGGAAAATTCTACTACCCCTACGATAGCAAATAGGAGGGAACAAAGAAAACTATAAAACTCAAGTTTCGAAGTCGTGTGATTATAATTAATGATATGATTATGAACCACAATAAATTTTGTTCGAAACTGTGTCATCCAGTAAATAATACTGTTTCACTGACTGTGTGATACATCTAATAGACAAACTAATGTGGAATTACATACTACCACAGTGCCCAAGTTTTACACATATATTAATATTAACGGCCAATAGATGATTGGAGGCAGTTGGTAGGAAGCCTTGCGTGAACTAGTTTACGTGCTTGTTGGCACTCAGCAAGGCATATCTGCAACCTTGAACGAACTTATATCCCTTTTGGAGATTCGAATTCGCGTAATCCAATAGGGGCATTCAGAGCTATTCGGACTCACGATTGAAATGCTATTGGAGCTGAGACTAAACTTTTTCAGGTTGTAGGATTTGAATGCATAATCTCACATCTTGCTCCTATTTTTAAATAATGATAATAATAATAGCTTTATTCCAAACAGTATTTGTGGTAAAGGTATGGAATTTTCAGCGTGCATTACAATATTGCATCTAATTACCTCATAAATTTTTATAAGATTTTAAAAATAAAAAGCAACAACAACAAAAAGAAAAAGAGATAAATAAAAGAAATAAAAAAGAACAGCATTGCATTCACATATTTAAACAATGCACCACAGGATATGAAATATAAAATTAGTGTGTAATAGAATATGTGAGCAACAATATAATAGTAACAAAGAAAGGAGAACAAAGCTAATGGGAACTATTTGTTAGAGTGCCGCAGTAAGTTGATCGTGTCATACCTAACGGATTTCTCATCATATAACAGCTGTGCCAGATAAGGTATTGTGGAGTTTTTGTACTTGGTAGTCCTAGCATATAGCCTCCTATAGTTGCTTCTAGTTCTACCAGATGAAATGCAAGGAGAGAGCTGCGTATAGAGAGGGTGTTCGGGGTCTGACAATATAGAATTCGCTAGTTTCTTACATGACATTATATGTCTATCCACAATGGTGTTAACCAGTTGGTTTAACGAAATCCCACTTCCCCTACTAACAGCTTTTAGTGCCCTACGCAGCAAAGCAAAGTCTTTCTTAAGTAATCCAGGGAAGATTAATGGGGAGCAGTAAAGAGGGATGGTTAGAATACAAGAATTGACAAACTGAGAAAGCAAAGACTGCTTTATACCAGACTGCCTTAACTTCCTAACGTAGAACGTTAAGCGAAACATCTTTCTAGTCACTAGCAAGATGTGAGAGGACCAGGAAAGATCGGAGGAAATACTCAGTCCAAGGTACTTGACATTAGATGTAATTTCAACCTCTATGCCGTCAATGATAGTGGGACCATGTGAGCTAGCTAGTTGTTGTAGGTCACTTTGTCGTCTGAAAGTGAAATTTACTACCTGACATTTAAACGGATTCAGCTTAGGATCGTTTGAAGAGGACCACTGACTAATTTCCGAGAGAAAGTTATTTAATTTGGAACAATCTGACTGAGAGTTGACAGGCATGGAAACAGAGAGGTCATCAGCATCCTTGACAAAAGTGGCTACATCAGAATGAGGCAAGTCATGTAAGAAAAAAGAAAACAGAAAAGGAGAAAGAACAGCACCTTGAGGAACACCAGCTAAAGTAAGTGAGGTAGTGGAGGACTTTCTATTGTAGACGGTGTACTGCTTCCTATCAGAAAAATAGGAATGCAACCACTTATTTGTCCAGCTCTCACTCTGTGTTGCTTTTTTCTCAACATCATCCATCATTCTATCAAAGTAACAATCTAAAAATAAAACTCTTCCCGGAGTTCAATGTTTTTTAAAATTAATTAATTAATTAATTAATCAACCATTTTCATCATTGTTTTCTCCACTTGAAAAATTTCTTCTACTCAAGGTTGAAACACTGATCAATACTTGGTTAGCGAGTCTTCTTCGTATCGATCATAATTCACCTGAAGAAAATGTATACGCTTCAAAGGAGAAATTAATTCCTAAGCATCATCGTGCTCATTCTAATCTAACAGAATGTAATGAGAATACTTCATACAATAAATCAATAGGTCGAATAAAAAAACAACCAACCAGAGCTAATCGTAAATCGAAAACTTTAACCAATGACAGTCGAGATGATAGTTTAAATTCTTCTACAAAAAATACACCAATTTGGTCAAATGTAATCGATGTGAATTCAGAATTTCGTCCTGCTGTATTAATTCATAAAACTGTGGCGCCTCAGTTGAATTCTCCTCAACACAATGTAGTAGTTAGGCAGAATCATTTCGTTGAACCACTACAACAACAGCAAGTCAAGTTGAGAAATTTATCTACAAGACAATTGAATAGGTTTTTTTCTCAAGAAGAAGACGAGGAATTAGCAGCAGCAGCAGGTGGGATGAGAAGTGGAGTAAGCAGTCGACTGGAGTATGCTTGCAACAGGAGTGCGTCTTTGAAATATGGTAAGTTGTATTATTTTTTGTATGTGAATAGATTAATTGGTCAAATGCAAGTAGTCTGAGCCAATGTTAATCTTGGGATTGTTGAATCCCCTACCTTGTTAGTGGCTGACTACCGAATCAGCTTCCTAGAGTCCTAATGAGAGAGAAGTCATGGCCAGCAGGGTTGACGAAGTCAGGTATGATGACAGACTCTTGTCGACAGCATTGAATAGCCGGGGCATGAGGCAGGTAGAAGTTAGAATTCATGAACCATTGAAATAGATTTCAGTCACTGAATAGTCGGTGAGCTGTCCTTGTAACCTAAAGGTCCTCTTTTAGATCCCCAGTAACGTTATGACTAGGACGAAACAGCTGTCCAGTACTCCCTGGTTTTCATAGGTTCTCTAACTAGAGTCAGCTCGTATTCACGCCTTATTATATTTGCATTTATTGTGGATTGACGTTGCATGAAACTGTGGTGAGAGCTGGCTGCTAGCCGAATTGGTAGACAGTAATTGACGTCAATGTTTACGTCCTCAATATTGGTCGTGAGAAAAATAAGAACAAAGACTGACTCGACAACTAATCACAGCAGACTTTGTTTGCGTAGGCGGATACAATTTGCAGATAGATAATCTGAACTTCAATAAACAGCCACAAAGAGATGAAAGATTAACGTTCAGCGAGAAACCACCAATCAGAAGACTGTGTTTGTCTACTAAAAATAATCTATACTAATGTACATGAAAATCTATAAATATCTGTTGATTTCCTAAATAAATGATCTGTTGCCTGGCCCTTGTGTTCTGTTGCTACAAAACTACATACTACTGATTAATGGTGATGAGTAGTTTTATACCAATCGTATCAACCATTAGCAGTGCTTGCCAGCCGGCCAGGTGGCTATTTCATTCATCAAGGGACTAGTTCATCGGCAGTGTACTCCGTTTGACTCAACTCAGAAAGACGAGTCAGTTTAAAAACTGCCCGAATTCGCGTTAGCTGTTTGGGTGAACTGGTAATATCACAAATAAGATTTCGATATTGCGAAAATGTTGATTCAGACATCTATAAAACACAAAATAATTGAGCAAAGAATATCTTTTTCGATAATTTCCTCTTCTGGCTCTACAATTATGTATGTATGTTCATATACATAGAATATTGTAGAATTGTAGTCAATAACAATGTTGGTGTTTTTTTAAATAATATCGATTTGTTAAGTTAGATCGTAATGGAATTACAATTCGTTAAAGATGCTTAAATTATAATAATAATAATAAAGATATAGTAGCAAATAGAATATCAACTAAAATTAGGGAAATTTCCACAAAAATTGGGGATCATTCAAACCTAGATGGCTAAAGTAAGGATAATGTCTGAACCAACTTCTTCTTTTGGGCACATAAATTAGACTTCTTAATGTGGATCCCAACAGTCAGCCTCAGTAATATGTAGTAATCGAACTCTTAAGGTGAAGTTAAGATTTGTCGGTATGCGGTAAATTACTTGAAAACCTGCCTTATTTATAACAATTTTGTGTTCTGTATCCACAAGATGAGAAAGAATAGCGCTAGCTGTGAATGGATTTTGTTTGTCGTTTACTTAACCACCATTCAGGGTGATTTTCGGAAATCCGACGTTAAACACGTTTAATTATAGGGCAAATGTAAGTGGCTCCATAGGAGCAGTTAAATTCCATTGTGATCGTACTTAACAAATCGATATTATTTAAAAAACACCAGTATTGTTATTGACTACTAATCTGGAATATTCTGTGTATATAAACACAGTGTAGAGCCAGAAGAGAAAATTATCGAAAAGGATATTCTTTACTCAATTATTTTGTGTTTTAAAAATAAGATTCTAAAATAAATTTCGCAGTTTATGTAGACTGAGGTGATTATTTCACTACAGTCAAACAAAGTATAGTGCTAGTGAGCTCCTCTCCGAACCAGCTAAACAGCCGTTCGGTACTTAGATAACTTTGAACTTTCTGGCTAGCACACACTACTGATTGATGTAAGTAGTATGCGACTTCTCTTCTCACTCAGTCAGTAGTATATAGTTTCGTGTATTTATGCTTGGTTTCTTTAGATTACCATTTGTAGTATCAAACATCATATATTGTGTGGTGATCTGAATAATTTTGGTTTCCAGAGGAAACTGTGGTAAGATTTCATCCCCTCGAACTGCAAAAATCACTAATTCGTTTGTAAAATTACGAATTTGATCTGACTGAATAATATTCGTTATTCTTAGCAGCCTAACATTCATTATGTTTGTCACTGTATTTTTTGGTAAATGGAATTGTGTCTCATCAGCTGAAGCACTTAGCTTTCAGATGATGTAGGGAAGACGGAAGTGGTGAAGATAAACAATAAACAGCAACAACAACAACCAGTACCCATCACCATCAAAGGGAGAAATTTAACAGAGGTTGCCTCCTTCACTCATCTGGATAGAAAGCATCATTTCCACTATAGGCAGTGGGAACGGATGAAGTTGTTTGAGCCAGTCAGAATCGGAAAGGCAAGATACATCTTCATCAATCTCAAATCAGTTTGGAAATTTTCTGCACTCAGCAAGCATAAACAACAAGATTCGGGTTTTCAACACCAATGTCAAGTCAGTCCTTCTGTATGGGTCAGAAAATTGCACCCCATGTCACAAAAAAGGATTTCCAACAGGCTGCAGATTTTTGTCAACAAGTGCCCATTTCGCTGGCTCCATACTGAAGATCAAATGGCCAGAAAGAATTAGTAACAAGAAACTCTGTCTGGGAACAAACTAACCAAGAGACGATCGTTCAACAAATATGTAGGAGACAAGGGAGATGGATTGGACATATATTGAGGAGACTGTCGAATGACATCGTGAGCAATACAGACCATTACTTCGGTGGAATGTGAATCGGAAGCGACGAGTGGTCCGTCTGTGCGAGGGTAACATAGAGGAGATCGTGTGAGGAGGAGATGAGAGTTTGTGGGTGGTCGTGGACGCAGCTGAAGAGGACGGCAGAAGATAGAAGAAAGTGGAGATGTGTTGTTAAAGGCATATGTTCCACTCCGAACTCAAGGCAATAATAATAATGTAATGTCCGAAACCTCTTACTTCTTCAGTAATTTATCTCTTATTTCAACTCTAAGTATAAAGCTAATTAGGTTTGATCACCCAACTCATATTCTAATGACTTCAAGAAACAGTGATTTTGTAATTCAATGAACTGAAAATGTTACAGCAAGAGCCCACTCATTGTGGTGTGGGCGCAGGATACCGATCTCTGCGTCCTATAGCATAGCTAACAAGTCTTCCTTAAGACACACGTGGTCATGAAGCGCACCAGACATAAGATAAAGTTAACTATTAGGCAATAAGAACATCACAAATTTAAAATTACCTCAACAGTGTTGTCATACAGCTATAAATTCCAATATTAGCACAAAACATTTACTCAAAATCAAGAAGAATATACTGAAAAAGGTAGGATTAAAAGCTCCGTCCACAAGAATCACACACCAACAACTCTTAAAGTCAGTTCAAGGTCATTTCTGACCTTGGCTAACCCAAACAAAATCACATCGTACAACACATTATCAACACATTGTACAGGCACAAAGATAAGCATCAAAAGTAGTCATTTAACAGGGAACAAGATAAATAATATGGATCAAGTTAATAGTATGATAT